ATGTGGTGCGCTTCTAGGAAAATCACAAACATTCCATCGCTGTCGATTTGAGTCGTATATCACACGTTCTTCGCATCACACCGCGGCCAAAGATCCCTCGGGAACTGGGAGTGAGCTTCAGCTCCCTCCTCCATGGCCTTTGTGCCCAAAACGTGTTGCCACACGACTCTTGACATATCCAAGTATATATATAGGTGACGTCACTCGATGAGCAGATCGGATTACACCGCCCTTCCGACCCTCCCACGGGAACATGCACCTCATCCTTCTATACGGTTTATGGGTCGAATGCATATATATATATATATGACTGTTAATGTGATTTTCCCAGCATGGCAATGGTCATCGGTTCAGTGGGTTTTCCAAACGGATATCATCGTGCGTATGGGGAAATAGTGTTGGTATAAATTGCAGTGTACGTGTGTGAGTACGTATATATATCATTGTATATTAATTTATTATATTATATTATACAATATATATACACGTAAACGGGAGGACATTTCGCCTGAAAAGTCATATATGATATCCTTTGCAAGAAAGTTATATTCATATTATATACATATAAATTCATATGAAATACTGAGTTGCATGACCACCCTCGCATAACGTTGTGACAAGTCGTCGAAACAAATAACGGAATTGTATTGCATTTAGCTTTTTTTATTGTTATTTTTACACCTATTTAAACTGTGCTATTATTTTATCACCTTTCGACGGACATTGAGCTTCTACACAATCGTAATCATTTATTATAACAAAGACGAAGTTGAATCGTTTTTTGTCTATCGTTATTATTTCATATTAAGCGACAGGATAACATTATTATTAAAAATGTATTCACAAAGGTTTTTAAAGGAATATTACCTCCGATTATGTCACTATCGTTAATATAATATTCACGAATTATGGTAGTATAATGCGTTTACAACTATACATCAAAAACTGTTCTTACTTTTAAAATATTATGTTTTTAATGTTTTTATACGAAGTCGTACATTATATATAGTGTTTTTCGTATTACAATATTATCGTTAACGAGCTTGGTTTTTGATTTATTCATGAATTTTTACTATGTGTATTATAATTTGTAATATTGCATCATGAGGGATTAAAATATCTGTTGATCATTTATCGTACCAAGAGTAAATCATGAAATGAATCTTCACGCAAGGAATCAAACGGCATTGTAGTTAATATTATCTCCATGTTCAACATAGGTGCTTTAAGAAACAAACTCGAAGGTCGTGATAATTCGATAAGAATATATTTTAGCTAATTTCATGAAATTTTAATTATTTTGGGACTGCAAGCTAAGTCGTTTGTTTTATTTTGTATAACATAATTTTTATTATACTCGTATATCTGTATGTTATTTATAATATTATGTATAACAACCAATTTTCTTGATTTTTTTTTTTTTTTTTTTGTTTAAATATTAGTTTTTAATAATTTTACACGAATACGATTTTTTATAACTAGCCATTAACTTTTTATGTAATTATGTAATTATCATGTTTCATATTTTAATACCTCTTATTTTTATTTTTCATACCATATAATTCTTGTAAAAATCATCATTTTACGTGTACTTATATTAATGGTTATTTTTGAAATTTTATTTTATGACCATATTGTACTTGTGAAATTTTTATCTTATTTTTTTTGGAAATTTTTATATTAATTATAGTAATTATTCATTTTACATATATTTCAATATGTTTACAATATTTAAATAAACGATTTTGTTTTTTGAAATTATTTCATATTTGTATTTATTAACCATTTGAATCTTTTTTTATATTGTTATATTATTACTATATAGTATATACACAATACTTATTCTTGTTATGTTATTATTTATTATAACAATATGTTTTTTGTATTATAGATATTATTTTATTATAATATCGTAAACATGAAAAAAAAAAAAAATAAAAAATAAAATTCTAGTCAGGAAAGTTTTTTATTTATTTTGAATTACAATAAAATTAGTAATACGAGTATATTATTTTATTTTATGTAATTTAACTAACAACTTGAGATTTGAATACTTACGTTCTCGTTGGTAATTCAGTTTAAAATGTATGTTTAATGAGAGCTAAATATTTTAGTTTTTAAGTTATTCTTATGTATATAAAATAGTGTTGTTAATATTAACTTATGTGGTTTGTAATTCGTTTATTTTATGAGTCATATAAAAATACATTCAGTGCGTAATTTTATTTGGTATTTAAGTATTTAATTTTTTTGCTTATACATTTATAGTGTTATACTAGTATGATTTGTATGGTAAAAAAATTGAGTGCTTACACAAATTAAATAATACAGACATTATAATATATAATGCATAATAACACATTAAGAGTTATTTATATGATAAGATTACTGTGGAAAATAAACAATCAGAAATAACTGTAGAAATACTAATGATTGGATAAATAAAATTTAGTAATTTTAATAAAAAAACCAGGGCTTGCATTTGAAAAAAAAAATACAATTAAAACGTTATACAAATGTTGAGTTTATCGTTATTTAGAATTCAAACGTTATTCAACTTTTGCGTTTATCGTTATTAAAAATTAAAATTTTTAATATATTTAATAAATTATAGCTATTAAATAATTGGAAATAAATTATTTCATTTAATAATATAATATATATAACGTTTTGTACTATGTTGTGTTTGATGAAATTATATATTTTGTTAATCGTTATATTTTGTTTTGTGTTATTTAATTATTTATGTTTATCGTTTTCGTTATAATTATGTTTATAAATTTCAATCGTTTTTTTTTTCAAATATAACGTTATAATCATAACGTTTTCTAGCTCTGGAAAAAATGCAATTTATAAATGTAAAAGTTTAAACGTATCAAATAAATAATAATAATAATAATAATAATTATTATTATAATTAAATTATTAATTATTATTAAACGCTTCAATAATTTGTAATACTTGTTAGAAAATATATTTTAGTTTTATTTAGTTAACTATTTCTGATTTCATAATAACATTATGGAGAATGATTAACTTTTCAGCATATAAAATCCAATTAAAGTACAAAATAAATTTAAAAATAAATAAATATTGTATTTTTATCAAGTTATTTTTAATAATGATAGATACAAATTATTAGATACAGATAATATACTAGACAAATTATTTATTTTCATGAAAAAATAGTACCTATATTATGTTGTTTGGACGACTATATTATTGTATTTATTATGATATTACGTTCATATCTAAAAATGTGTAAAACTTTGTTTCTATGTAATGTAATTTCGTTATTTTGATTGAGTTTTCAAACTATTTAATTCTTTATTTGATTTTTTTAAGAATAATATATTTTGATAAATTTGGAATAAAAAATAAAGTTTATAATTTAATTTTAAGCTCTAATATTCGTTAGCATTTTTTAATGAAAGTAAATTTTTGGGTGAATATAAACAGTGATAATTTATTACATTTCGTAAAAATAAACCCAACAACAATGAGATATTGTGTATTATTTCGGCACTTTATCGTAGGTATCCAGCGGGGCTTAAACAATATTATAAAGATTTTAACTATAAAATGTTTCCCGCAAATATAATTATTGTAAAATAATGATATTTTTTGTGTAAATATTTTAATTCCGTGACGTGAGATTTTAAATCTATTATACAATTATATGACAGTTAATAATATTATAATATATCTTAGAAATTTCTTCAAATAACAAAACATTACAGTTAAAAGAGATTCGGGAGTATGCGAAGTAGGTATAACTTGTTTAGACAGACACATACTATAGGTACTATGAGTCCACATCAGTAGAACGGATAGTAATCAGCAAAAAGTGAAATCCGAAAATGTCTTAACTATGATGAATAACAAATAAGGTTGAAGAGATTCACATTTCATGAATGTTTTAGTTATTATTCTCTACTCGAGTTTATTTTTCTGAAATTATGAAACCCGCGCATGAGTAGGTATTCGTTCTTACATACAGATAGACAAAATAAGCAGAAATTGTGGTATTGGTTGGATGTCAGCGTCGTTTTCCATAGTTGAATATTAATACTTTTCCGTCTCAGTATTCTGTCATTACGCAGATATAATGCTCCACATATAAAGTATGTTAATTGTTTTGGATGAGCTGCGTAGGTATAACCTAATTATTAGGAAAACACGAATTAAGCATTTTGAAATTCCATCAACTATCTGTCAGAGCAAATCACGCGTTATTTTTATTATATTGTGGGGGCATAATAATTATTGTCGGTACGTCTTCGGTCACCGGTAACGAAAAAAAAAAAATCCGGATAGATCATTGCGCAACTTCGTGTGCGTTGCACGCAAAAACTAACGTTTTGACCCTAATAAGTAATAATAAGTAATAATATTAATAATAATAATAATAATAATAATAATAATCGAGTCGCTCCGATTGCTCACGGATATTATATTAATATATTATTATGTATATATTTGCACATAACCACACAACCCGTTCACGCCATACGAACGGTCATTGCAATGTTTTGGGCGTATTTTAAAGTACACGGATCACTTTGAAATTGCGGTCTGAATATATACTTACATAAATATTATCAGTATTGGATCCTAAGTATTGAGATGCCCGGGTGGGACTACTAATATAAAAAGTCTTTTATAAAAATACAAATTAATAATTATAAAAACTTTACGTATAATGCACTAATTAATTATTTGTTGTTGTTTGATCATCGGAATAATGAATAGGGTTTTAAAAAAAGAAAATATTTCATCTATGTACCTCATGACTTATGCGTTTTATTAAATCGAGTTGGTATCCAAGTCAGTTAGATTTTATACTCTAGAGTCTAGAATAAACAGTTGCGACTTGCGGATAACATTTTAAAACAATTTTTTCTTAATCATTATTCAACAGTATTAATTATTTCTTTACATGATAAAAAAATCTGAGTCGTCAACCTAAGATTTTTAAAGTCTTTCTAGTTAAATCCGATATTGTATACTATAGTACCTATTTATACAACCCATATTTGATCTTGCACATTCTGATACAAGTTTCCAGCGAGAAAATTTTTGAAAATTAAGAAAAAAATATCTAAATCAATATTTTAATAACCTCCTTAATATTTGAATATTCCGGACATCCAGCATCGCGGTATTAATAGGTACGCAGTACGGTACACATACAAAATACCGTGAAAACACGACGCGACCTGGTCCCGGTCCGGTGAGCGATATAACACCAACTACAACATAATAATATTATTATATACCCGATTAAGTTATGTAAATGACGTTAGCGTGCGCACTACGTAATCTCTTCGACGAGAATAAAATAAAACTCGAACTCGCCCGAGGCTGCAGCCGCCGACATCGCATAACCGTACGTGCGACGCTGTCCAATAAAATAAATATTGTCTTCCTGGATCGATCATTACGGCGCCTAATGATATAATAATATATAAAAAATTATAAATATTACTAACTTATCGTCCACGATCGATCATAATATTTACAGTGATTTGTTTAAGATTTTTGACTGTGTGTTTTTTGTGTAGAGCTGGCGCGCGAAAAACTCAAATGTTCTTCGCAGAATATTTTTCCGTCAGTCGTCTTCCCTAAGCCCACCACACACGAAACGATTGATTTGTTTGTTGATTATTTATACACAAAAAAGTCTTGACAATATTTTTATGGCTTAACGTAGACACCGTTAATGAATATTTTTACTGTTCGTTATAATATTTATTATATATTGCAACGTTCATGGAGTATTAAGTACATGTCGACCGTTGAAAACAATAAAAAATAAATCGATCACAATAGGAGTTTTTACACGAATAGAAAATGAATCGACGAGGACCCGGACAAATTGAAAACAATCAAATCAAATACAAAACTGATTTTATAATAACACTACGTATGGAGTACCTATTATAATAATTATTTACGATGTTTTTATTGTTATTATACTGTTTTGGCGTTGAACAAAAAAATAAAACGACCGGAGAATGGACGACAAATTATCTCGTTTTAAATCGAAACGCGTAGCGCACAATATAACGTCATAAATATCACGTTCGCAGGGGTGGCTGCACACGTGGGACGCGCGTGCTTCACACGATTTCAATTACCTATTGCAAATGTGTGAATATCATCATAATATCGCAATAATCGGATTTTCCACCGTGCGGGCATTACGCAATGACGATTACGGTTTCGACACTGCCGCCCGGGAAAGGTTTTGGGCATTTAAATTCGTGCAATACACACACACACAAACATGGTTTTCGGGAAAACCATCGTTTGCGACCGATATTACAATCTACAATAAATTATAATATAATATCACGTACTCATGGCGTATAGTCCGTTCGAACGGATTTTTGCGTATTGTAACGACAGAAATATTAATATTATTATTAGGTACCTAAATCGTCGTTTGGGGCATATCAATAATGACTACCACCGGTGACGTACGGTACGAGCGCGAATAAGCTTAGCAGCGATAATACAACAATATTTACGTGTCGTTTAGGTCGTTATTGTGCATGGAGATACTGTACACAACAGTACCTATGTGTACACAATAATGGTAATAATATTTATTAACCGCTCGTAGTCGAGCACACGATATGGCACGCTTCTCGATCGAAATCGCTAAAACCTATCCAAACCGTTTTGGTTATTGTCGGTTATCGTTTGTTAGTTTGTTTGTTTTTTTTGCTGTTAAACCGTCTTTATAAAAATATTGTCTAGAAAAGAACAACACACAATGTCAAAGAAAATAAACTTTATTCATACTACATTATACATAATTTTTTATAATATTGTCGTTCCTCGACAGCGTCTTTTGTAGAGCTTATTTTTTTTCACATCGCTATAAAGAGGATAATATAGCTAATTATGGTACAGGTTGACAGGGGGTCGGAAATAAAAGTTTAATATATACAAAAATAAAAGTTAGTTTAAGGTCGTAAAAAAAAAGATCTTAGTCAGTAACAGTCAAAGTTGAGAGAAAATGTTTTTAATTCCGTTATTTAATTAAAATTAATTTCGTATAAAGATAATAAAATAGGAAGTATATTTATATTATAAAAATATCTTAATATTTACAAAGTAAAAAAAAAAATTAAAATTAAATAATAGTATTTAACAAATTAGTGGTAACCATTTTCCGGTTTCATAAAATCGTTTCGATGCGATAAATGTTGTGTTCGTTCAGTTAATAGCTGCTGTGGTAGTCGTGATGTTCGTGATCGTGGTCGTGGCTCTTGACTGGGTACGGTACCGGGACTTCGACTTTCACAGGAACTTTGACCGGGTATGGAACGTGCTTGACGACCGGGTATGGGACGGGCTTTTCGACTGGATACGGTATGTGTTTCTCGACTGTTACAGGGTACGGGCGGTCGACGGGCACCTTGACTGGGTAGGGCACTGGCTTCTCGACGGGGTATGGGACGTGCTTCTCGACGGGTACGTGCACTGGGTATGGGCGGTCGACAGGCACCTTGACGGGATACGGGACGTGCTTCTCCACTGGATACGGGACGTTCTTTTCTACGTACACTGGGTATGGCTTGGGCACGTGCACGGGGTACGGGCGGTCGACGGGCACCTTGACTGGTACCGGGATCTCCTTGACCACCGGGTACGGCTGTGGCACCGCTACCTTGACGGGGTAAGGCACTGGTTTCTCGACGTGCACTGGGTAAGGTTTTGGCACGTGCACTGGGTACGGGCGGTCGACGGGCACAGCTACCTTCACTGGGTATGGCACGTGCTTTTCAACGGGTACGGGGTACGGGTGTGCCACCTCCTTGATGATGGTCTTGGACAGCACGTGCCCGTGACCATGGTAATCGTCGCCACCGACGCCTACGTCGTAACCGTAACTCGAACCGTATCCGTAACCGGTGTCGAACAGGCTCCTCTTGGTCTGAGTGTTGTCTCCGGACGACTTTTTGTCATCGTTTGCTGGAGCATTCTTAACGTCATCGTCGTTGGCCAGCGCGTAGGCGCACAGTCCGAATACACACACCGTGTACAGGAGACCTCTCATCGTGGTAGCAGGCCGCGCTATAAATATAAACAAATGTTAAATTTTATATATTATACGCGTATCGTCAAGTGTGTTGTTCGCTGCTCGTTCCAGCTCCGGCCCGGACCAATACTGACTGCTGATGAGCTGAACCCGTCCGTTTTGTACCTCTCCGACCGCGCCGTGAGGGTGGGGACCATGTTTGGATCACTCCCTTCTCCTAGCAATATACCGCGGTCGTTTTCTTTGCTCGACGGCTCCCGGTTAAGTCTACTTTCTCGGAACGCGATCCAGTTACGACTCATTTATTCGTAACGCGTGTTATTCATTAGTCATTACTATATTAATGTTCCCACATCGATCCAATGGACATCTGTAGCATTCATAGGCCATAGCACACTCACAAACACATAAGCATGTATGTAGATGTAATTAAAATAAACCGTCTAAATCTCACATAATATAATATAATAATAATAAACATTACGTTATTGCATTAATCGTGTAATATAATAATACGTAATTCAAGTTATCCGTCAAATACGATTACTTGGATATACATAATAGTATGAGACATATAAATATAATATATTATTATATGATGTCTGCAGAGTGGCCTGCAGGGTATTGAGAGTCGCTTAAAAACTCACATATCTGGATTTGTTTTATCGTACTAAAAAGTACGGTTTACGATTTGCGGTTTTCATCCGTTGCATTTCAGATATTTTCTACATGCCAACCTCCAACAGGTGTCTCATAATATGGTAAACCGGAATTTCAAGACTATTGTGTAGTTCTAATAAAGTGATTATTTTTCGAGATCGTAATACTTCAAAAAAATTAGAAACAAATTAAATCAAAATAATTTTTGACGAGATCCGAGATAGAGGGATACTATGTATATTATATTTATCCTACATGATGCAAAGATAAAGAAAATTATTATAAAAATATAAACTTATGAAATATTCTTAAAATTATAAAATTCAGCTAAATTTATAAATAAATAGGTGATTAAATTAATTTCAAAAAAAGTTTTTTTACTCGCAATAAAATATAAATGTATTCATTAATTATTAAGTATAATGTATTATGATATTATAATAGTGATTATTGTTCATATTTTCTATCATTCCAATAATAAAAGACGAGCGATAGGCAAAATCTCGATTCATGAAATATTTTTTCATATTTTTCAATTCTATATCGGAATTATCACAATATAGACACGTCTGCTATTTTTAGACTACTGCCACTGTATAACAATTTTATTAAAAAATACTTACCTTCTGTTACAATAAGTTTTAACTCCTTTAATAATTCTTTTGCTATTCAGGGTAATTTATTTATTACATTTTTTTTCTATTTTTTTTTTTTTTTTTGTAGTAGCCAACGATTTTTTTTTAAAATACCTATCTAAATATAAAAAAATATTGTTTGTACTACAAACTTTGTAATCATCTCATTATTATCCTTTACAGTCTAAAATTAAATATTAATGTAGTAAAAAAAATTACATCATTAATATATTTTTTCTTTTTATATAATAATACTTTTAAAATATATATGAGTAAACGAGAACGATATTACATTCAAAGAAAAACGATATCACGTTTATTTTTTTATTATTCATTATTCAGTGATTTAGGAGCAAAGCCGGTCAGTAACCTAGAGAAGGACAGGTTTTCTTATGCATCTCTTGGCCAAGTCACGGTTATAATATTTCATATGTACAATAATAATGATATATATTATTATTGTTATAAAATACGATATCTAACGCGATTATAAAATCATCAAGATACAACATATACACACACATATATATATATATATATATATGTTCATTATACATAGTATGTAGGTATATAATAATTCAATGCGCTGATGATTATTGCATGGATTTATATTTTATTGCTGCTGTTTAAATCACCCGCAGAGAGGCTTCATTGTTGTTATTTTTCTGTGATTAAAAATCAACCTATTATAATGAGTAATGACTATAATAGGGCGGCTTTCATTAGGGCGAATAACTCAAAATAGCATATCGTTTGGGAAAATATACGTTTCTTTCTCATTTTTAGAGAATTTTTTTTTAGGAAAAATGTATTATATTGTCACATAATTCATTATTTTATATTTATTATTTTAACTATTTTTTTTTTTTTTTATCATTATGGTATCTCATACTCATTTGTTTATAATTTATTATAGCGAATTTTCCGGTTTGATATTCTTTCCATAATTTGAATGTATATTTGTAAATTAGTTTTGACACTATAATAGTTACCATCAATCAGCCAAAATAATATTTAGTTGTAGTAAATATATAAAAATTATTGTATAGGTAGGTATGTTATTTCCATATTACTCAATAATTTATAAATTCACCTAAACGATCGGTTAATTTCTCGCAAAACGATATATGCTCTACTCAGGTAAATTTTGGGTTATTCGCCCAAATGAATGACGCCCCTATAATACGATAACGTTAATTATTTATAAAACAATTAAATTCGATTTCTTTGTAATTATATACATTGTATATTCACAGTATTTTACTATAAAATATATTCAATCGATAATTATTACGTATACTGTAATATTATAAATAAGGTATGTCCTACTATATATTAATATTTTGACAAATTAAGCTACTTAATAAATTTACTACACTACTAACGTATTGAGCAATGCTTTTGTTCAGCGTTTTTGAGCACAGATAATAGCTTAAAGACGACCATACATAGTGGTAGTAAATTAAAGAATAGGGAACTACATCAGACATTTTCATGGAGTTAACGTATTTACGATATCCGAACTATAATATAATAACTGATGCTATGTAACTATTACAGTATGTTATTAACTATTATAATTTATAACTACAATAAACGATAACAAAATTAAACAATTTAATAAATTTTGAATCTACAAAATAATGTTAAACATTCGATAAATCCAATTTTATTTATTTTTTTTAATATACTCAGATATACAATTATTAGATCTTTTATAAGAGTTGGAAGTGCACAGTTCGTCTCGCTTAATCGCGGATATGTTGTGCAGAGTCACAAAAATTACATAAGTTTTGTATTTTACATAAGTTGCGTAAGTTTCCAGCACAGCCCGAAAACATTGAATTTGTAAATTGTATTGTTGGACAATTATTATTCTAAATTTTAATTTCAACAATAGTGATTTATTGATCATGTTGGCGCACCGACAATTTGAAAGTTTTATAGCTTTTTTTTATACTTTTCCAACAAATTTCATCAAATATCAACAAATGCCTAAATATGTAGGTACTTAGTAGTGCCAACTTCTCGTACCTTGTATTTCTTCGTGTTTCACGACGTTTTGTATTGTTTTCACGAACACTCCCCGACCGAAACGAAAACGTTACGAGACGAAATCTTTTATGTTGGGTTAATTCGTCATAAAATTGCGTAAATCGCGCGTAGTTAGAATCATGCAAATTGTTCGAAATTAAATAAAACGCGCGTACAATACAATATACGATACTTATTTTATTATGATGAAGACAGTGTTAATAATAGTTATAATATTAATGATGCGTGGGACCTGAAATAATAAATTTTTGTTAAAAATGAAATAATAATAATATTATTATCTCATCTATGATCTCAGATGTGCAACAAGACTATATGACCAGGTTTGGACGCGGTCGCTGCGCCCGCGAAGCACACTTGACCATTCAGTGTAAACGCGGGCGAAGAATTTTTAATTTTAATGTATTCTTTTTCTTACGTAATTTGGCGCACGCGCCCGCAATACGATAATAAGCATATTATTATTGTAGATTTTACTCTCGACGTTCGGAGGCGTCCCATCCACCACACACCGTGAACGGATTCGTCTCGGTCTGCAGTCTTACGAACATAATATTTTATCTTACATCGTTCTATAGAGTTGACTTTTTTAATAATATCGATAACAACATATTCGTTGAACATAATGTTTTTGAGTAAGTATAATTTCGCAATATATACTAAAAATTGACAAAAATTTGATTTTATATTTGAATGTGATCATTGATCGATGGATGACAGCAATCACCGCGGTCGACGTCATGATTGCTTAAAATAGTTAACTACGTAGAAGTAAATAGATATGAACTTTTAATGACATTATTATAAATAATCTAATTAACCTATAGGAGTATGTTGAAAAATAAAAAGTTAGTCTAACAACCTACCTCGTTTACTTCATTTTTTAAATATTCTTTTTTTATCTAGCATTATGACAATAATTATATAAAAAAAAAAAATAATAATTTTGATTTGAACTTTTAATAATTGTTTCAACTATTAGAATGAAACTATATCAGTTTATTTGAAAAATATCAGTATCTTATGTGGATTTAAATATTTTTATATATTTAAAAAATTCAAAATTGCTTATATATTTAATAATACATGGTTTTTAATCAATCTTTCTCTCAACCATCCAAAAATCACTCAATGGTCTTGACTAAATAATAGCTTCGTTATTTAAAAATAACTATATCATGTTTAACCAATGTACGTAGAATAAATCGAATTTATTTTGACTTACTATAATATTCTTAAACGCATTTCCAAAATATCAGGTTGTGATCTAATTTCGTCTGTTCAGCAAGAGGTACTAAATTATATTTGTTTTAAATTTTAACTTACAAACTATACATATGTATGTATCGATCATTAATGTCTTTATATGCATTGCATAATGGATTTCATGGTCGTCTGCATAAGCAGATAACCTATATAATATCGTATGTTACTATTTAGTATTTCATAGTCTATATACCTTTTTCAAATATTTGAATTTATATCCAAAGAATTTCCATCACAGGGTCACTTTAGCCGGAGGAACTGACAAAATTCCAAGAACTTATAACCTGGATGTGACCTGTTTAGATCCGGTCGCATGGGTAATGGAGTAAAAACCGTCCGTTGGTTTAATATACCTACCGCTAGCACGAAGTATATGTAGTTACGAAGTTAAAAGAATTTTATTTTAACGAGAACTACCGAAAATGATGATAAAGTCCACGTATTATATAGAATAATAGATGAATATAATATTTTACGATGTAAATAGATAACTAGAACTTTTGGTCACGCTGCAGTGAAATAAATATGAATGGGAAGAGAATTAAAAAAATAAAATACATTTTTTAAAATCCAAATTCAGATTTCTAAATTTTAAATCGGGAATTATTTTTACTATCATTATTATTAAAATTGTATTTACCTTGATCTCTTTCGAGTAAAATAGTTAATAATATTACATGATAATAATTAAAATATGGTTTAAAAAAAAAATATATATAAAGCATTTTATTTTTATGTTGACATTACTAAAACCTAATGAATTGCAATCGCAACTGCTATAAATTAAACAACACGTGGTTATCTAATAATTGCTTATATTTATTACTAAAAATGTTTAAGATTGATAAAGATGATGTTAATGCAGTTTTTGTTTTCTCTCTCCGAGCTACAGAAAACAATAAATTAAATATGAACAATTTGCGTTCAGAAAAACCAAATAACCAATTATGTATTATTTAAAATAATCTAGGGTTAATGCGTAAATAAATAATTCAGTTTTCAAAATTTATATCATGCTATTTAAATGCATATTACTAAAACAAAAATTTTCTAAAAATATCTTAAATTAACTCTTCTCACAAAAAAAAAAAAAAAGTCCTAATGACTGACACAACTCAAGACTGAACAATGACCTTGTACAGCAAGAACAAAACCGTAATCGTACGATTTTCAATTTTAATATTTGCAGTTGTACACGTCATAATATAATAAATAATATTTTTAGGGACTTGTTTTTTAACTTTTTTTTAAATTGTGGTTTTGGGAGTAATGTTTTTTTTTCTTTCTACTTTTTCTTATCTAGTTACAAACATGAGTATTTATCTTACAGTATCGCTATGTTTAATATTCGACTGATGTAATATACTAAAGTACATAATTTCCATTTTAAGTTTTTAACGATAAATGAAAATCTTACAATGATGTATTAGTATAGAATACAAAAAAAATAGTTAAAAAAATTCTTTGATTTTCAAATTTGGGTGTCGTTTTTGGTAGTGAATTAGATCTATTTTTACTTTGAAGAGGTAAAAAAATTATTAGTATTTTTCAAGATTTTCTAAGAAAATAAAAAAAAAATTTAGGAAAAACGGTAAATTTACGCAAAACCAGTAGTTTTGATTTAATAAAGTTCCAAATCGAATTGAAATTATTTACTTTAAATATCTTATCAAAGATCAAAAAATCTATTTAAATATTATCAATTAATAACCTAAACAACTTAAAGTTTCTATAGTTTATATTCTATAGCATGTAATATGAACCTGGTTGTACAAATATTGCTATTTTTATACATAAATGTATTTATTTTATATATTTTTTTAAATTTAACTTTTTTTTTTTATACTGTATCTTGAAAAAATAACATACTAAGAAATATAAATAAAAATGTTTATTTTATTTTTCAAGTACAAAATTGATACCTACTTTAACTTTACCGATAATAGGATATTATCAATGATGGGCCTTATATTGTACGTATTTATTAATGTGATTATCTATATTGCTAGTAAATTACTATTACAATTATTGAATTTCTTGCAGTTTCTTACTTCGTTTGTCTTGCCGAGTCTCCGAAAGCGGTAAAGTTTATCACGGCATCGCGCTAAGTAGAGTGGAACCGGTCAACGGCGGTCACTGCTCCACTGCACTGGTGCACATAGAAGTATACAATGTGTGCACACGCACAATGTATGCATATTATAATGTAGGTACCTACTGCAGAGTTGTCAGTCGTATATCATTATATTCCGTGTTATTCTCACGTGCACACACGATCGTATATTATTATTTTCTTATTATTTCGTACACAGACCAAGCTCAACATTATATAATAGTAGTTTTCGCGAGATTATAATCGGATGCGATGGCGTTATAAAATATGTTATAGTGTTGCAGTGGGTATTATAATAGGTACTATTACATGAGTGTATATTATTATTATTATTGTGGACGTCGTCGAAAAATATGTCGAAACGGTCTGAATTATTTGTTCGGTAATTACTAATTACATGTTATGCATCGCGATATACATATAAAACAATCGTACACACTGCACCCGATTTAAACATAATTATAATAATATGTAATAATATTATTATAATTATCGTAATACCTACAAAGTTACAGGACTTGTTAGGCATCGTTTTGGTTTCGACGGGAATTAAATCGTTTATGGGGCAAGTATGCGACTAATATAGACGAGTTTCCGCAAGTGCTGCAACCTGCACATGTAATGTCTTCTAACTTTATTAATTATTAATATTTTTTTTTCAAAATACATGATTTAGGAGATGAATAATTTTTATTTTGGTATGTGATGTTTGCTGTGATATATTCATTTTTAAATAAACGCAAAAACTAGTAGAATGGTTAATACTATGGGTGTGTTATAAATAAATCGAAAAAAAACAAACTATATAGCAATATATTAACATAATAATAATATAATACGATATTTGGGTCGCCTATTATAAAATAATATATATTAATATATCTAATATAAATGAAAATGAATCCTGACGGGTTTATCGCGTTATTAAAATCTCGTCGAGAGAGAACGTATACAAAATAACTTCCTCGAATGTTGGTTGCTATTGTAAATTGCATTAGCGACAGAAAATGCGTTAATAATAATAATTTTATAACTGATGAGCTACAAATATATTGGATCATGTTATATCAAATTTCAGTTACGTTTTCAAAACCATGTGGACAAAAAATTAATGACGAGCTGATATATAGTTATGACCTATCTACTCGGAAAATTTGTTTTCCGCATGTTTAAAAAAAATCAATATAGTACCATGTATTATTGTAAATTACGCATTCACATCGCCAGTAAAAAAGAGAAAAAATAAATTTGAAATCAATAGTGATGTAATTGCACACCACCACTCATAATATACCTGCAGAAAGTGTATTAACCAGAGTTGAAATACTCGCTTTTAGATACACCTATAAACATATATACTAAATAACTAAATTATTGATTATTGTTATTAGATACTCCGTAACACACCAAAATTGCTAACCAGTGAGAACAAATTATAATAAAAATCGAATAAGGTAAAAAAAAATTGTTTTATTCTACGAAATAAATACATGTGATATACGATGTATGTATAAGCGTAGGCATGAACAGGTACAATAGTTAAATCAATTCGTTTGCATTATATTGTTATATTACATTTTACAAAATTTTAATTAGGATCCTCGAGATCTTGTTAATAACTGTGGCTTCCGTGATCGACGTACGAATGTTCTTCATGATGGTGGTGGTGTGGCACTTCGTATGGTACAGGGACTTCGACTTTAACAGGAACTTTGACGTGGTACGGCACTGGTTTCTCGACCGTGTACGGTACTGGTTTGTCGACGGGATACGGTACGTGCTTTTCAACGGTCACTGGGTATGGACGGTCGACCGGAACTTTGACCGGGTATGGTACGGGCTTTTCGACGGTGTAAGGGACGTGCTTTTCGACGGGCACGTGCACGGTGTACGGCTTGTCGACGGGCACTTTGACTGTGTAAGGCACGTGCTTGGTAACCTCGTAAGGAACGCGCTTCTCGACGTAAACGGTGTACGGCTTGGGCACGTGAACGGTGTACGGTTTGTCGACGGGTACCTTGACTTCGTAAGGGACGTGCTTGTAGACGGTGTACGGTTGTGGAACCTTCACTTTGACCTCGTACGGGACAGGCTTGTCGACGTGCACGGGATAAGGCTTGGGCACGTGCACGGGATATGGACGGTCGACGGGTACTTCGACCTTTACCGGGTACGGTACGTGTTTTTCGACCTCGACTGGGTATGGTTGGGCGACCTCTTTGATGATAGTCTTGGATAGCACTTGTGGTTCGTGGTGGTAGTCGTGACCGGTCAGCTCGTGACCGAAACCGCCGGAGCCGTAACCATAGCCGGTATCGAAAATGCCTCTCTTGCCTTGTGTTTTTCCATCTTCGGACGCAGATTTTTTTTCATCCTGCGTTTTCGTTGCTAATGCGAAGGCGCACAACCCGACCACGAACGTCACGAGTAATATTCTATTCATATTGTTTTTTGTTTTGAACGGAATAATCAACTGATGTCCATTCGTCTGTGTGCTTGGCTTTTGTAGTGGCAGCTGTGTCTTGCACCGATGAAGTCCAGTGTTCAGTCCCCTCCCCTTCACTCGTAGTTCCACCGTGGATAAATAACACGTATCTATTGGTCTACTTTCTATTGTTGTCTATCATTCACCTAATGTTTATTTTTCATGATACCATCAATTTTATGCTATTTCATAACATTTTATGCAAGACAACTTAATTAAAACATCTTTAATATTGAACAGTAGTCTAAAATATGATAAATCAGATTTTTAAATTACGTGTGGTGTATTATTGTTATGCATAAGTACGTGTATGATTACTCACAATATGTACTTATAATTATATAAAGAATTATTTTATTAATAGTTCATTATGATAATATAAAATATTCCTTTGATGATTATTGGGCATTGCAGTTTTTATCGATTTATTATAAGTAAATTGTCTATCTGTCTAATTGTCAATATCAATATACTAAACTTTATTATGATAATTTACAATAAACGTTTTTACAGGGTATTAAAATTTTATGCCATCCAAATTTCTATTAAAATAAATTTGTAATGATTATGTAACTGTTACAATATATATTTAAAAAATGTAAATTATACAGTTTCATCTATCACATAATTTATAATTTATAATTTTGTCGCGATCGATAAGTTCAATTTTAAAAATCGTAATAATAAACTTTTGTGGAAGTGTAAAACGTGAATATTCGTATCTATGTATCTATATAACTTATAGTAACTTACGTAATGAGACGTTTGGTTGCGACTAATGATAATGATAAGAACTACGTGTAGGTAGTTTATACAAAACACCCTATTACACAACTTACACAACTAATTTGCATACTATAATAAAAGAAATAGCTATCGTATTTAATCACTGTACTAGTGGATAATTTAAAATAAGCCAATAAAAATATTTATCTTTTAAACAATATAATTGATTTAAAAAATAAAAACTTTATGTTATCCTTTACTTTTCATTAGTTAAACTAGGTTGGATTCATTTTTCCTGATTTATTTAGAGCCTTATATATTATATATATTATTTATAAGCATTTTAGCTAGCGAATGATAGTAAGTTAGGTTAGATTAGATTAGATGAACACAACCATATAATAGTATTTATCTTTTACTATGGTCAATTATGTATATACTATACGTATAGTATACCAGATACCTATAGTATATATTATATACATACATACATACATACATAACATGGACTCATGAACACTTATGTCTTCATACAATTTGTTTTATTTTAATTATCATAAGAGCCCCATCATACATTCATACCAATCTATTTCTGATGAATTTACTACATTTTTCAAATCACAGCAACTAAAATGTGCGCTAAAGTAGTCTTGTTTTAACACTAGTTACCACGTCATCATTAAAGTAAAATAAATTGTACTCATTAGTCATTTATACCATTTAATCTGTAATATAACGGTGTGCTTGGTTTAACTTATGGTTATTTTTTAAATGTATTTATTATACGCATAATGTTGATTATATATATGTATCTGGTTAGTTTCATTGTATCAGAGGTTGAAATTGGCTTTAGTTACAAGATTTAATTAATTTCAGTTATAATAGTATGTTGATTTAAAAGAAAATAAATGTATTGATTTAATGTAAATATGTTTATTAAAAAAAAGAGGTACAAACGCCAAGAAAACGTAGAAGACAAATTTTCGTTTCTCAAAACCCTTTTAACATGTTTGGATAAAAATGGTGTATTTTATTTATTTGTTAATTTATTTATAAAACATTAATCAATTAGTTCCATTGTTCAATTTATTTCTGATAAAAGAAATTTTTAATAAAATAGATTAATAAAAATAATATTTTTAGCGAAATTGGCACTATAGTATATCATGTTTGAAAATTATTATATAATACATTATACTTATAAGGTAAATAAATGGTATAATATTACCTTTTATTTGTAAAATTTAGTACAAATATCCAGTTTGAGAATCTAATGTTGTTAATAATTTATTGTTAAGTTACCAAACAGCAAAATCAATAAAAAAAAAAACTGAAAATTATAAATAACAAATGTTATTAAGTCTAGCACCTCTTCATTTTACCACTTAAAATGAATTACTAGTTATTTAATGCAAGCTTATAAATAATTCATTATTTTTAATAAATACTTGTAATATTGGTACATAGCATTTTAATGTAAATATTAATAAAATGCAATAAATATTTAACGAACATAAAATAATAAATAAATAGACCATAATTTTATATATAGAATAAGTATCTTAGGTACGTGAATAGCTGATTAGTAAAAGTAACATTAAATCTGAACTCACTACTATGAGAATAAAAAGTAAAGAAAATTAGTTTACGGTAAATACTGTAAAATAGTAGCGGTATATTATAATAATTATAATTTATAACGTACCTATTACAGTATTATTTTTTATACAGAAATACATTTTTTTTTTTTTTTTCATAGAGATATATGATAAATTTTATAATATCTAAAAAAATTAAAGGTTTTTCAGATAGTTTATGTTTATTTTTGAATAATTAGAAAGAGTGAAGACAGGGGTCAACATCACATACAATAAATAACTTACAGGTTACAACATGGAAGATATAATATTATTGTGTTATTTGTTTTTAAATATTATTTTGAATTAAAATATAGTAAAAATGTTCATAATACTAACATAATTTAATATACAATTGTTGATATAATAGTTCAAACGGATAAAAACAAATAATTGCTACTTATACACACGGAAGTAGTATTTTCATGAATATAATGAACAAATGTTTTAGTAACTTTTAAAGAAGTATTTTTTTTTTTTTTTTAACACGAATAGTAAAATTTATAAAACAAGACTTTATTTAAGTACATGCACATAACGTATTATCTTAATATACACACACATATATATATATATATAAATTCGTTAACTGATTTTTTTGTTTCCTTATAATTTATGTCAATAATAATACAAAACTATTTTTATTATATCATAGTGCCTATTTTCAAATAACACAATTTTAATCGTGTGTAATCTAATTTCAATGTATAGTATGTAATACAATACGAAATCACAATGTCAATAAAAACAAAGAGTTCTACATTTTCATTAAGTATGTGCACGCTACGTTAAAAACACAAGTAATATATTACATAGGTAAGTATCTAATACCTACTATGCGTGTATTTGTAACAGTCACCTACACTGTAATAATACTGAGTAATACTTAAATTACGTTTACTTTTCAAGGTTCAAATAGGCGTATAAGAAGATTACATGAGAGCCATTCTAATAGCATTGGAAAGTATGTAGATCTCACCCCCCCACGTCTAGGAGGGGGAGATGAAAATTACTTCCATTATGGGTGTTCGGGATACTACAAAAACGGTGGATCCAACGGAATAGCATCAGTCGATTCATCCGATCCAAAGTTCAACGACAATATGAGAAGTGTATTCAAAATACTGTGCGTGTTCGGTCTTTGCGCCTACGCAGTGGCGTCGGAAACCTCTACAGGTAAATCGGTAGAAAAAGCAGAAAAAACCACAGCAACGACCAACGATGACAAAACCCAAGGCAAGAGAGGCATTTTCGATACCGGCTATGGTTACGGCTCCGGCGGTTTCGGTCACGAGCTGACCGGTCACGACTACCACCACGAACCACAAGTGCTATCCAAGACTATCATCAAAGAGGTCGCCCAACCATACCCAGTCGAGGTCGAAAAACACGTACCGTACCCGGTAAAGGTCGAAGTACCCGTCGACCGTCCATATCCCGTGCACGTGCCCAAGCCTTATCCCGTGCACGTCGACAAGCCTGTCCCGTACGAGGTCAAAGTGAAGGTTCCACAACCGTACACCGTCTACAAGCACGTCCCTTACGAAGTCAAGGTACCCGTCGACAAACCGTACACCGTTCACGTGCCCAAGCCATACACCGTTTACGTCGAGAAGCGCGTTCCTTACGAGGTAACCAAGCACGTGCCTTACACAGTCAAAGTGCCCGTCGACAAGCCGTACACCGTGCACGTGCCCGTCGAAAAGCACGTCCCTTACACCGTCGAAAAGCCCGTACCATACCCGGTCAAAGTTCCGGTCGACCGTCCATACCCGGTGACCGTTGAAAAGCACGTACCGTATCCCGTCGACAAACCAGTACCGTACACGGTCGAGAAACCAGTGCCGTACCACGTCAAAGTTCCTGTTAAAGTCGAAGTCCCTGTACCATACGAAGTGCCACACCACCACCATCATGAAGAACACTCATATAGTGAAAACTCGTTCGGCGAACATGGAAGCCACAGTTATTAACATGGTTCCAAGTTAATGTTTTTGTAAAAAGTATATTATACATTTATCGTTTTTTTATTTAAAAAAAAAAATTGTATTATATCTTGTTTATGAAATTAATATTTTTTTTTAATATAAAATAAATACTATTTCATAGAAACTTTTATTTTTAATATATGTTTTTCTTTACATTTTTAGTTTATCATTTCTTTAATATTTTTGAACTGTTTTGTTATAGTCTTAGGTATTTGTATTTTGTACAATAGAAAATTAAAGTATAATATATTTTATCTCTGATCTAAACATTTTCGTCTCAAGTGAATATGTGTAGTCAGAATATTTACCGAAGGCGCTGCATTAGTTTCTAACTCTATATTTACCTGAGTATAATGGGTTTTGTGGACATACTTACATTGAACTTGTAATAAAGTTGACCCAAAAAATATTTATTTTTTTTCAATTATACTTTATTTTTATATGTCTTAGTATTAAGACCCTGGATGGAATACTATACATTTCAGTTTCCCATGCTAAGATAATAAATCATAAATATTTACGTAGATAATTTATTTTTTAAAGAATGTATTTATCAGCTTATGTTTTTTATTTTTCCAATATATTTTATATTTTTTTTTTTTTTTTTTTATTGGTATATTAAGTAGATACATTTCATAGTTAACATAATAATATTATTATCAACAAATATATTTTATTTAATAATTTGTTTGGTAATCATTTTCCGGATAGTAATATGCATTTCAATAAATTGTCAACGTTATTTTATAATCATTAGTTGATTATTCTGTTTTGAAATTACTTAATAAGACATTACAGTTTTATTAGCTATGGTCGCTGCACATAACTGCATATATCGAAATAAGTAAAGCGTATACTGACATGAATAGTATGTGTGTTGTATAACTTGTATATGAAATAGTAAAAGATAACATTGTTTTAAATATTTTTATGTATGACATTTTTCTATACGTTTTTAATGCTCATAAATTATTTTAAATTTAATAATATTACAAATTCATTCAAATAATTTTTAATTATACAAATACATCATATAGGTAGAAAAAAATAACAGATAAAATAATAATATTGCACTTATTACATCATTGTAAATACCAAATAAAAAAAAATTATAAATTATATATTTATAATTTTATAAATAATAATAATTGGATAGTGCCACACTTAGAACAAGAACCTAATTTGGTTCTTTTTTAAAAATACGTTTTTTTTTATCATAATTCTTTATTTTTTATTTCATATTGTGGTAGATTATAGGCCTTCTATAATTATGGGAACGTATTGTAATAGACAAATATAATTTAATTTGAATAGAACAAGAACCAAATTAATGAAAAAATCATATTTATTTATAAAGTAAAATATTATGATTAGTAATTATTGATTACTAGTATTAAGTTTAGTTGTATTCTCAAAGTTAATATCTATATCATATTGTGTATTTTAAAATTGTCTTATAAATATGTATTATTTCGTTAATTATATATAAAAGCAATATTGTTTATTTATAACAGATTATTATTATTAAATTATATTTCACACATAAAATGATTTTTTTCTTATTAAATAAATATAAATATTCAATTTTAAAATTTTGATTAGAACAAGAACCTAATTTTACAACTTAAAAAAAAAAAATCAGGTTAAATCATAATTAAAAATAAATTAAATTGACTCACTTAATGGTAATAAATAAGGGAACATTTTTAAGTTTTTATTTTTTTATAAATGTGCCTTGAAAAATAGTTTTTTGTGTCTCTTGAAAAAATCAATATTTTAAATTAGTCTTTTGTTCTAATAGTCTCAATTGTATAATTGGTTTAGAGTATAAGATTAATAATATTGATATTTCGTATGAATAAATATTTTTAAACTGTTATTTGTTTTTATATTATACTGATTTATTGTATACTTCCTATCAATAATATAAGTACCTTTTATTTGTACAGGAAAACCACAAAATACGTACATTTAAATTTAAAAATGAAACGATGTTCATAAATAAATTATGATTCATTAATTACATCAATTTATTATATTTAATAAGTTATAGTTATCTTATATTGTTTCATATATGTTGCCCAAAACTATATAGTCACAAATGCAAAACTATAGAAAGTTTATCTCAAAGGATAAAAACTCGAATATTATTCAAAACGTTGAAATTGAATAAATTGTGTAAAATTGTTTAATATTAGTTTACATTTTAAAATAATCTTTTACAGAAAAATGTTTTCTTCTAGTTATTAAAAAATAGAAAGAGAAAACATAATCAGAGATCAACGTCAACAGAAAAAGATGTTTCACATAAACACTATTATCGAAGTAAGAAAAAAAAAACAGGTCGTAGTATAAAATAAGTCTTTATTTGATTTAATTATAGATATTTACATTACATTCGTTATCAACCGATGTAAATACATGATGGTTGAATACATTTGATTTTGGTAACTGCGACACAAAATCTAACCTAACCACAATATTGCCTATAATTCGGTTATAAGTTGTGACTAGTAAAACAAAAAAAAATAAGATAAAAATGCTATCAATAATCAATGTTCTCTGTTCCACCTTGCTGCTGCGCTTGTTCCGAGTGTTTATCAGGTTGTTGTGTTTGTTCATCACTATCATCCTGTTTTTGTCGCTGTTCTTCGTGTTCATACTGTTGTTGTCGTTGTACGTACTGTAATAACTGTGGTTGTAACTGTTCTTTATGTTCGTATTGTTGTGGTTGTGACTGTATTTCAGGTTCATATTGTTGTGATTCTGTCTGTACTTCTGGTTGAGATTGTTCTTCAGGTTCGTATTGTTGTGGTTGTGATTGTACTTCTAGCTTAAATTGTTGTGGTTGAGATTGTTCTTCAGGTTCGTATTGTTGTGGTTGTGATTGTATTTCTGGTTGAAATTGTTGCAGTTGAGATGGTTCTTCGGGTTCATATTTTTGTTGTTGCTGTTGATCTTCAGATTCGTATTGTTGTTGCTGCTGTTCTATTTTTTCTTTACGTTGAGTCTGAGTTTTTTCGCTGCTGTTTACTTCGTAAGGTACCGGGACATGGACTTTTACTGGAACTCTGACCAGATACGGTACTGGTTTCTCGACCGGATAAGGCACAGGTTTATCGACTGGGTACGGCACGTGCTTCTCGACGGTTACTTGGTAGGGGCGGTCTACTGGTACTTTAACCGGATAAGGTACGGGCTTTTCGACTGTGTAAGGCACGTGTTTGTCGACGGGCACTTTCACGGTGTACGGTTTATCGACGAACACCTTGACGGGATAAGGGACGTGCTTGACGACTTCGTAAGGAACGCGCTTTTCGACATAAACCGTGTACGGTTTGGGCACGTGTACAGTATACGGTTTATCGACGGGTACCTTGACTTCATATGGGACTTGCTTGTAGACTGTGTATGGTTGTGGCACGTTGACTTTGACTTCGTACGGGACGGGCTTGTCGATGTGCACGGGATAAGGCTTGGGTACGTGCACGGGATATGGACGGTCGACGGGTACTTCGACCTTTACCGGGTACGGTACGTGTTTCTCTACCTCGACGGGATATGGTTGGGCGACCTCTTGGATGATCGTTTTAGCGATGATTACTCTCTGCTCGTTTCCTTTCTGGAAGTGTGGACCATTTACTACATTACTGTAACTAGTTGCGGCGTAACCGTAACCGGTGTCGAATACGCCTCTTTTGCCATGTCCTTTTCCGTCGTCAGTTACCATAATCACCGAGGCTGTTGTAGCCGTCGTGCTCACCGTAGCAGATTCCTGAGTCTTGTTGGTCTGCAGTTCTGATCCGCCAGCGGCAAATGTGCACAGCGCTATAACATACGCCATTTTCAACAATATTACTGTCATCTTTACAAAGACTTTTACTCAGTCTTCATAAATATGTTGGGTTAGAATGGGTTCAACGTGAACAAAACAATCAACTGATGTCCGTCTGTCCGCGTGCTTGGCTTTTTGTAGTGTGTAATGTGTGATATAACAATATACCGCCATCCAACTAGAAATATTCAGTTGTAGAGATGACCCCTCCTCAGAATTTTCCTGCACTAATCTACTTTCTAATCTCGACGAATTGTCACATAATATGTTTATAATAATAATGTCATAACACATTTTAGGATAAATTATATTTTTAAACCTACGAACTTTATTAGTGCGTGATATGAAAAACGTTCGTCTAATTATCACACCTTAATAATAGCGTATGTAACATTTGTTGTTGTTACTAAATATTATATACGAGTACAGTGTAGTATCTCGCATCGTCAATTGCCTACATCTGTACCTAGTAGGATTCTATATTATCAAACTATTTGTTATGAAAGTCTAGATTAATATTTCATATAGTTATTTATATTGTTAGATTTTAAAATAAATTATGCTCGAACGATATTTATGTTTATTCATAAATAATAATATTATAAAATATCATTTTGGTATAGTTAAGAATAACATTTTAAGATTTGTAGAATTATTATAAAAGATATGTCTTGATGAAAATTTTTTAAATGTTAATCATTATAATTATTTGAGTAAAAAAATATAAAATATGCATATACATGATGTTTTGGTACCTATTTAAAATTGTTGATGAACTATAATAAAATGATTCTACTGTAATAATAATTCTCAACTTCTACAATACATTGTAGTTGTAAAGAGTTAGAGTAGTTAGAGTTATTTTCATATTCATGATAATTTTTCAGACTATTTTACACGTGGATTTCTTCAATTATTTGTATTTGTTTAATACTATAGTATACATACATTTAAAAATAATTTTATAATACACATTAATTAAAGTGAGGTTAATAATCTAATGGTATTAATTAATATAATATGAATACTAATATAGATTAATCAAACGTGACAATGACAATAGAATGTTCAATTTTTATTTCAACCGTGAAATATGAAACCATTTTAATTAAAACAGCTAACAGCGTAATTAAATTTATAATTTTTGTATTTTAATTTTTTCGTCGTTTTTTAAGCACGTAATCATTTTACGTTTTATAAAATATGTAAATAGTGATTTACTCATAACGATGAATAATTTTTATATTATATTGTTTTTGAAAAAAAAATTCCTTAAAATAAACCAGGTTGTTAAAAAATAAATATTTGATATAATATTATTGAAATTTTATTAAAATTGAATTATAGATTGAGAAGTTTATTAATATGTATTAATTTAATATAAGCTATCATTATTTTTTAAGTTTGTTGTTGATAATTGTTATTTCTAATAACTGTATTCATTTTATTAATTATATGCAGTGTAAATATATTTTATATATTATTTGGATACAATTAATCAACTGAAAATGTTATCACTACGATTTTTAGTAAAAATATACGAGTATATTTCAAAATAAATAATTCTGTCTTTTAGATTTAAACCGTGTTGCTTTATGCGAACGAAAACTATTTCAAAGGTAAAATAAAATGGTATAATAATTATGTATGAATTATATTATAATTGTATATTGAATTAATTTTACGTCAGAAATTAATATATTATAAACATAAGTGGAAATCGGGAAGTTGGCTTAGTCTCGACCAAAAGTTTTAATGAGAGCCTAGAGGGATTAATATCTTTAAAGTATACGGTTATTGTATTTTATTCTTCACAATACATAGTATTTATAGTTATTGTCTTATAAATAAAAACGCCTGAAAATTTTGTTAAGTCATCAAAAACTTTCTAAAATAAATTTATTTCTAAAAATCATAGTAATTTATCAGTTGTTTCTAACTTGCCACTGTATTGATTTAAATAATTAAATACCTATAATTTATACTTGAAAATTCAAATAAAATAATATATATACATACTGATTTTAAATTACAATTGGAATTATAATAATAATAAAAAAAAAAAAGTAGGAAAATATTAGTTTATTCTGAATATTAAAATATCATCAACAATTGTAATCCTTGTTAATCATTTCAATTGTGAATATAAACCCAGTGAGAACTGAGAAGAGATGAATATAATGTGTACAACTAATTATTAGTAATTATTTTATTTTTTTTAATATTTAGTATGCTTTGTATTTATTATTAAAGTATATTTTAAATTGATCATTTACAGTTTTAAAAATAATAATATAGTATTTGATATGTTTATTAAATTTCTTTAAAATAAACGCGTAAATACCATAATGTTTCAGTAGCAAAGTAGGTACTGTTGTATAAATATTTTAAATTCATATTAAAAAGTTATTGTATAATGCTAATGTATAAAAAAATTAAACTCTCAGACAAAACTAATTTTATTACAACGTGATACAACTATTTTAACATTTTTATGTATTTATAGCAAACCAAGTTTTAATTTTTTTTGTTATTTTTGTCTACGAATAAAGATATTAATGATACAATTTGATTATTACTTTGAAACTTTCAGCTTTATATACACAATAATAAATAATAAAAGTATTCTTTTTTGTTTATGCTATTTTATATCGTAGCAGACATATTATTTTGTACACAGGACGGTTTCATATTCTCTGACAGAGCACGCATTACAGATACCCCATATATTGTCCACGTGTTATATATGACTTGTATAATATATACCCTTTCAATGATGGACATTTCTTTATACGGCTAATATAACCTTTTTTCAATTAGTGGACAGCGGACAAATTCCTCTTTCTCGTAGCGTTCAATCATAGTACTACTTAATGAAAAATGATACAGAAGGGTTTTATCCGATGATTGTAATAATTTTGATTCTGACGTATTTTAACCTATATTATGTATAAAAAATATAATAACTATGTATGCTATGTATGGAAATATTATTTTTAAATTGTATGTATAATATAAGTTGGTTAATAATGAATGAGTTTAAAGAAAAATCAATTCACTTACGATATAGCATAAGAAGTCCAAAACAAACACAAACATACGTTATATGAATATTTAATGTATTCCCATGTCGATAGAATTTAACAGATCCGATATAAGATATATAATATTTTAAGCCGAAAACTGCTTATTCATAAATACCTGTACATTTTATTTTTCATTACATGGGTACAACGTATTTTATTTTTAATACCCAAAGTTGTATGTATTATCTCTTTGTTTTTAATTTGAACTTAATCTATATAAGCTGATAATTTACAACATAGGTCTCTATATGTATAAATTTATAATGTATATGCTATACTGAATACTTACTTAGTTTATGAATCCAGTCAAAGTAAAAAATAAAACCGTAATGGAGTTAAAGTTAAAAAACGTGGTTGAAAAAAAATATAACCATCGATATAAGTGCATGATGTTTTTAAAATATTTTCATTCAATCTATTCGAGTTATTAATGTTTTTTAAATTTAAGCGTGTATTTTCAAAAAATAAAAATATAAAATGTACTTTATATGTAAATGAGCCTTTCATATTGTATGCTCACTGCTCAAGTATTTAATTTATTATAATATTTTATACAAATAAAACGTTCTCTTTTCGTGCTATATGCGCAACAAATACGAGTCGTAAGCTCAAATCGTTTGCTTAACTCTTTGAAGAACATATTAAATTATTATCTGTTTTCAAATTCTAATGTATTAGTATTAATGATGTAATTGTTTCAATTTGATCTGTATAGCTTAAGATAACTAACACTATAGGAATCGAATTGTTATTGGAAAACGGATCTATATAGATAATATATAGCGAAAAAACTTCGATTTCGACTTGTATAGAAACGTATGGTTAACACATTTTGCATTAAAAAAACATAAAAATTGTATATATTTACAAATAATATTACATATTAACGACAAGCTCTGTGTATAATAAAAAAAAACAAATGACTAGGTAGCCTCAGTTAGGTTCTCACCTAATGGTAGCTAACTCAATCTGAGTCCACCTTGGTTTTCACCTTAGTAGAGATCGTGTTCAGGTTTGTTGCTGAGGAGTTAGTGAATTGGCCTCCATGAATCATACGTAAAAGGCTTTTCAGTCTGAGTACCAGCCGAGTATGGTACCGGGACTTCAACTCTCTGCGGAACTTTAATCTGATATGGAACTGGCTTGTGTACGATATACGGAACGGGTTTGTTCACGGTATACGGTACGCGCTTTTCAATAATTATCTGATATGGCTTGTCGACGGGCACGCCGACTGGGTAGGGAATCGGTTTTGCCACCATATACGGTACGTGCTTCTCGTATGGTACGAGTACGGTGTACGGTCTATCGACGAACATTCTGATGGGGTAAAGAACGTGCTTGATGACTTCGTATGGGACCATCTTCTGAATGTGAACTTCGTACGGAACGGGTACGTGGACGGTGTATGGTTTGTCAACGGGTACCTTGACTTCATACGGGACTTGCTTGTAGACGGTGTACGGTTGTGGTATGTTGACTTTAACTTCGTATGGGACCGGTTTTTCTACTTGCACCTGATATGGTTTGGGTACATGCACTGGGTAAGGACGGTCGATGGGAACTTCGACCTTAACCGGGTATGGTATGCGTTTCTCTACCTCGATCGGATATGGTTGGACCACCTTCTTTTCGACCGTCTGGTATTGGATTTTTGCGGGTCCATCCAATATATTCTCACCCTGTAACACTTGGACTTTACTACTTTCTAGACTGTGTATATTTTGGTCGTGTATCATTTGGTTTAACTGCACTGCTTGTCCATATGTGTCTTTATTGTGTTCCAGCGTTCCTTGATCTAGCGATACACCTATCCTGTACATGTTTTGGTCGTATCCTCCTTGGTTAGGTGCTTCTTGTTCGAGTGGTACATCTTGGCTATTATCGGCATCGTACGTACTTCTTTTTCTAGCGTTACTTTTATCGCTTATGTTTTGGCCAGCGACGAAGATGCACAGTCCACAAACTAAAAATATTACTCTGTTCATGTTTATTCGATTTAAAAAACTGATTAACTGATGAGCGTTCATCCGTTTCATCAGCTTTTGTAGTAACGCGTGAGTGAGAACCTCCTAAAAAGAAATTATTTCATACAAATTGTCCCACCATAGGTATGTTAAAAATACTTTCTACAGTAGTACTGGTTTGATATTTTTTATAATCCAGTGATAAACTAAATATTTATTTTAATATTCTATCCTTATTATTATAAAATACTCGTTTTTATAATGTCATTGCAGAAAAAATAAACACATAAAACAGAAATATGTATTACGTACGAGTGCATTGAATGAAAGTAATTGGGATAACGGAAGTACTTAATTTAATTATCAATACATTTCTATGTGACACGTGTATAATTTTTACTATTTATTGTGATCGTTAATATAATTATTTTTATTATATTTTTATTTAACGTGGTTTAAATTAATTAACAAGAGTGTTATACGTATATAATTTTCCCTAGCTATGTCTTTATTTTTTTTTTTATCTACTAATGTGAAATTTGAGACTTTTTTAGTCTTGTCCCTTAACTATAGTATATTAATAAATAATATAAAAATGTTTCTTTTAAAAATTTTATCAAATGTCAGTTTTTTAATTTTTTCCTTCACTTATTCAATTTGTTACACTGAAGGTCTATTTTAATTTATATTTTGTTGTCTGATAAAAGGTTATTTTATAAATTATAACAGCGTTGAAACTAAAAATTTTATCACTCGATTAAATGTAGGTAAACATAAGGATAAAAATCATACCATAAATTTTAAGTAATATTGTAATAATAATAATAATAATAATAATGTAACTAGCTTATGATGAATATAGTAATATTATGCGCAAAAACTTCAATTACCTATATATATTTTATATAAGTTATTCAAGTTTGATGGCTTAACGAACGGAACTTGTTAATAATCCATATAATGTTAATATGTTTATTATCGTTTATGTATTCAATTTAATTATACTTAAATATAATGCTGGATCTATAATTCTTACGCCTATGAAAATAAATAGAAAAGCATCTATTCTCTATGTGTAAATGTATACTATAAATTGACCATTTTTCTCTTAAATCTATTGGTGACTCGTGAGTATTTTTTTTTTATTTTTACGTAAATACGGCTTACTATTTTCACTAATATGAATTTTTTAAAAGAATAATACATTTTAATTTGGTACCATTTGACGAAAAAGCGTCTAGCACCTTAGATCCTTCTGAGTATAATAAGATGGCGATACGCACACAACACGAATATATTCTACAAAATTTTACAAACACTGTTTTAAAATATTTTTTAATCTCTATACGACCGTCCATATTTTATGAATAGTTTATGCTGTAGTCTTTAATGCTTATTAACACCTATATTATATGATATTAGATTAGCACGACGGCTTTAAAACCATTCTTGACCCAAAAGGGTCAAGCACATCTAAATAAGCCATTTTTTGTGGTGGTACTTACTCGTACGATTAAGAGGTTACAAAATGGTTATACAAAATGTATGTGTAAAAATATAAAATATACACTTGTATACACTTTTAAATTTCTTTTATTATATTATACCTAAATCGCTTTGAACATATTTCAATCTTAAGATGTGATTTATTATTTGTTCATTTTTTCTCATCCCGTGTGATATAACATGTTACATGTAATCGATTAAAAAACGATAATATTATGATATATTTACGTAAAATACTCTTCCGCCACGCATAATATATTAATTAGAACGATGCGCGACGCCGGTACGTGATTGCATATGCATGTGCATTGTGCATGGTCCGCGACGACAATACCATCGGGTTAAGAACCTGCGTGGCGTTAGCGTCCGGTATTTAGTTGTCGCTACAATATTATGTTATATTGTAACACGCAAAAGTTCATATTTTAATTTTTGTGTTATTCCTTGTTCTAATTTAAAGTTTTATACCGTTTCAAAAACATAATATGAAAGTTATCTGAAATGATTAATGAATAATGGAAAAAAAGATGTCCATAATATATTATAGAATAGGTATTAATATACTAGTCCTTGTCGATAGGAACTTGAGTCTTTGATTTCAAAATATAATTTAACAAGTTTATAACCGTTTATTTCAATTATGGTGAATAATAATGAGATAAATAATTTTATTATTCGAAGTTGAGTTTAAAATGAAATTGTATGCTATCCCATCCCTTTCACGCAAGATTCCAACAATCACTATCTAAATTTTTACGGTGGACTGGGAGCACTGAAAATGTCACTTTCAGATAAAATTTTTAAGCTAACGTAACTTATAATAAATCGGTTCGCATACGGCAGATGGGCATTGTGGTAGGAATACGTGGTACTAGTGCAAATGCTCAGTTTTCGTTTTTGTATCGATCGGATGGGATGAGAATCCATTTATACTAGTTTATCTGATGAAAACACTTGATCAAGAAGAAACATACATTATTACCAAAAGCGTACACAGGAAAATGTATAATATGTTTATAGGAGTTTGGAACGCACGATTTAACGATATCGAAATTAATATTATAATAATTTTATCTGATACAGTCGTAAGCAAAACTTCATTACTACCTATGGAATGGATACTTTTATTAAAATAGAAAGAACGCATATACTGTACGAGCGTGAAAATACGATTAGAAATGCATATGGGCTAACGGATGATATATATGGGAAATAAACTCGTTTACTCGTGTGTAATAAATTAATAATATTATATGTGGTGTCATAATTTAACATTAATTATATCATTTCATATTATTTGTTTGCAATATGAAAAATTGGACGTAAAAATATTATGTTAACATGAATCCGAAATGAATAGGAAGTACAAACATTTATAACCGATTGTTTTGATGTTAGTTATGACTTATGATGAGTGGTTGTCGATGGTTTTATGTGAAGTTATAGTTGTGAGACATAATAATATGTATCATCCGCGTATCCATGGTTTTAGCCAATATCCATGTCGTATGGTCGGGTATTGGTAAATAAAAGAGTAAATTCGTTTCTGCTGTGAAATGAAATATATTTATTATTTTATTATGTTAACATTATATTTTTGGATTTTATTTGCATACAAGAACGTGTTCGTGTGTGCATTAAGTTTACGTAATTTGTTTTTGTTCCACGAATATCATAAATGCAATTGTCGTAAAAAAAGACAATCTTTCTATAATCTGATCAAACTAAGCGCCACATAACTTGATATGCGAAACCGGTTGTTGTAGTTAAATTTAGAATCATTTGACATATTAATATTTGCTGCGAGTGTGAACATAAAATTTAAATACATAATAATAACTATTCTTGTTTTGTACTGCGATTAGTAAAAAAACACTTAGTAAAACGAAATAAATAAATATATACCGTTAGTATAGAAAAGTTATTCGTATTAATTACATACTATAACTAAACTATAATTATTCCGCTGTACCTACTCTTATTATAAACTATATAGTAATAAATATAGTAAATAATAATATGATAATATGTATTACTGCAGATTACTATAAATATATATGGAACTATATAATTACGACCATATAGAATACTTATGCGATTTGTATATAAATAAACTCTGTAATTATTGCATGGTAATAATATTATAAGAATATTGAGAAAAATAATTTGTCTTAATCATATTGCATAAAATAAATTGGGAGTTAAAATCATAAATTATTTTTCATTATTATTATTTTTTTTTTTCATGTATACAAAATTATAAGCTTTAGTACCTTGAACTTAAATAGTATAATATAATATCATTAACTATATCGGATATGAATTACTTGTGTTTATAATTTAGTACTTAATAGTTTTATACATTTATATAATATAGATTTAATTCTGACATTAATCATGGTTTATTTTGTAAAAATAATGAGAAAAAAAATGTTCAATCTATCCTATATTAGTTTTTTTTCTTTTTGATGATGTCTATTAATTGGCGCATTGATATTTTTTAGAAACAAATAAATACTTCGCGTATATGTCTATCGAATAATCTTCATTATTTATTAACTACACTGCGTGCGCTCATTGTTAAGTATCCTCCTTAATGCCTATATGGTATCTTAATATTAACCGTTGTACAGTTTATTTGACCGTTTAATAATTAGATTGTTTGAAAGTATAACATTTAATAATTTTTATACTTTTTTTTCTTTCTAAAAGAATAAAATTCTATAATTATATTAAAATGTTTTAATATTATTATATTTTATTTTACATTCGAATAATCACCAGTTCAAATTACAAAAGTTTTGAACTTTCAATATTTTTGTTTGCTGCTGGTGAGTTTTTAGATTAAAATATAATACCAATTATGTATATTTTTCTTTTTTATGATACATTTGTTTTTTAACTGGTTATGATTATTACGCCGTCATTAATTAAATTGAATATAACTAGGTTACAGTTATACGATAACACAATTACTAGAGCTTTTCATATTTTTCGTAATTTTATAAAAATAATAATTGTATTATGTAATTTACCGCAAAACGTAAACGTAATGATTTCAACTGTTTCTAGTTAATTTTTTTTTTCGTTTTAAAAACGTATTTCTAGCTCATTCGATTACGAAGTATGAGTATAACTGACTAACGATAATAAATGGAGTTCTGTACAAAACAAATATATACATACGTACCGAATCCTGGTATACATATAGATTTCCAGTAAGAATGAATTTTCGAAAAGCAATAGCTGTTAGATAATAAAACACAATATACGTATATCTATTGAAACACGCATTGCATCGTGTTGTATGAAGAGTAATTTAACTGGATCTATGGTTTTCGTGAAATGCAGACATAGAAACGCCGTACCTATACGTTCGGGCAAATGGTTCGATGAAACGACTGTAATTCATTTCACGGAATACCTCTTCGTGTCTGTATTAGTTTCCAACTGGAAGAAAATTATTTACCAAGGATCTTGTGATTTAGGAGAAAAATTATCTTTAATGCGTTTTTGTTACCTATATGTGGTTACTCATCGCCGGCTGTTAGTAGCCAACTATTAACCAGAATTTGGTTGTTTGAGTAGGATGAGTGTAGATTAGATCTACCGGGTTAATACTTAAAAATATAACAACCAAGAATTTACGTTCACAATAATTTTATTTTGTTTTTATACGATATCACATGTTCAAATACATACACAATTTTAATATGGTGAACGTCTCCACGGCGAAAATAATACAGAATATAAATTACTTAAAAATGATTACGACAGAAACGGGATGATAATGATTATAATAATACAAAAGTTGGTCACCTAATTTATGTGTCACAAATATCGTTTTATTAATACAACACTATCGTACCATGGTAGTGACTGCTGATTATAATGTACAAGTCCGGGTCAATGATGGTTGTGCTCAACGACAGTAAGTTCTCCGACACTTAGACTCGCAGCTGCGTTTCGGGTTAACGGCTTTCTGTCACCTGTAACAATACGTTGATACGAGTTCGAAGGTACTCGTAATAATTACAAGTAAATATTACACGGATGATCGACGGCCGTCGATGTGTAGGACACAGATACAAACGACAGGTTTCGGACACAAACCGCGACAAACGGATGTACGAATTTCCGTATGTCAACGCATGAACTGGATTGGATCACACCATCACGATTTATGAGTCGCATCGGCCGACCACGGCTCTACGCACGTGGTATATCGTATATTTGGCGAAGTGTGCCCAACGGCTACACAATATTTGAGAATATATATAAAAAAAGAACGATTTACCCGAGCTACGCGTACCAAAAATCGAAAACACTTGTTTTAATGTGGAGCGAATTTTCGCATACACGCTGGACATATTACGTGGATAGACTAACGGAAAAAACTCGGCGGAGACAAAAGCCGGCGGCAAACGTTAACGACGTCTTTTATCGAAAAGCTTCATATCGCCTTTCACAAACCCAACGAATTAACGATGAGCGAACACCGCCTATAAACATTAATAGGTATATTATACACTCATAATTTCAAAAAAGTAGAAGTACTTGTATAAACGTTCAAAAAAAAAGTGTATACACCTTGAAATAATATGGCGTATTAAAAGTTTTACAAGCGACCATAAAGCTCCATAGTCTGAAACAAAAAATTATTCTAAAAATGTTGATATAACAGGATCGAATTTATAACAAGCTATAAATAAGTTATTAGTATTTAAGGCTAAGATGTGTGGAGTGAACTGGCAAAGTGATACCTCGTAAAATGTTGTCTGTTACTTCAATCATCAAAACTTTAAATGTATATTAGTTATCGCTAATGAGCTACTCGTTTAAAACTAAATTTTTATGGATTGAAATTCTCAGAAAAATATTTTGCGTCAGAAAATGAAAGTAAAAATAAACAGGTGCCATTCAAAAAATTAGAAACTTGAGAAAAAAATTATAACGATTAAAAACAGAAAAATCATTCAAACGAAAATAATACTGTTTTAATGATTTTAATTTATGTAAATAAAATATATTTCAAAAATCTGTTAAAACTAAATGAATGTTTATTGCTAAAATAATCACTTTGTATGGTACGTATGATTTATAATAAATGTTCACGTTTCGATGAATCATTTGAAAAGTTGAACGCTAACGGACTTTTCTGTTACAAAACTTTTTTATTTTTAATGGAAATCCTTATTTCACTTTTCGTTATTTCAATGCTTTTTGTTTTTTAGTAATAAATTGTTAGTTCTAAGATTCCAGTCTTGTTACAATAATGTTCGTAGTAAAGTTAAAAGTGTTTAATTCCAATAAAAGCAACTAAATCGTAAAAAAAGACATTCCTTGTTTCGCTTAGAACTAAAATAAAAATTGCTTTATTGGAGTTGTTAATAAAATTGTAATCGCAAGTCAAAACTAAATATCCCAATATGAATTATATTCTTATAATAATTTTGCGCAATTATAACAATAATCTAAATTAAAAATTAGGTTTTTAATATAAGTTATTTTTATAATTTTTATAATTTAGTTTATTAAAATTGTTTCTGTTAATTTAATTACATCTCACACAATGAAATAGAAATAAAAATTAATTTACTGTTTTTTCAGTAGCATCAGCTGAACTAGAAACTATTTGATCAAGTATAAAATATTCAAAAATGTACAATATATTCGATTTTATTCGTATACTCTAATAATACAGTAGACGCCGCTTATAAAACTCACGAATATAAGGTTCAGTCGCTTATTAGACTCAAAATCGTCTGGAACGGTCCAGACGTATCTAAATACATTAAAAAAATCGGTTTTAAGACTCAACACTTTGGTTTTAAGACTCAAATTTCATAAAATAAATAGTAGAAAATAAACTTTTTTGGTTATAATTTAGAAATAAATTGGTTTTGAAAAATGAAATAATATTCGTGTTGATTATTTCTAGTTTCTGTTGGTACCTTATAACGTATAATAATTTTTATCGCAGATAAAAGTTCACATTTATCGCAACGATAATTATAACGATTATAATTTTAGTTTTTTTTTATCGGGATTATTAAATTTATTCAATAATAAAGTATGTATAATGTAATATGTGTTAATGTATTAAAATCAAAGCAAAATATATAGTAAAATAAAATTTATAAATACGTAATTAATTTTTTTTTCCACTTCGCCTATAGGATTCATTCGGTTATAAGACTCACTTTGTGCTGGTCCCAAATTGAGTCTTATAAGCGGCGTCTACTGTAGTAATAAAAAAAATATGTTGTGTAATTTTTAGCCTGTTTCTTTTCTAAGTATCATTACCTAATTTGTATTTTAGATTTAAATTATTATAATATTAAGCTTTGAAATTATAGAAAGTATGTGTCCGTTGTTATTTTTTATTTGAAAATGTTTTATATTATCTTCATGATGCTAGTATCTAAAAGAAATAATAAATCAAATAATTTATATATTTTTATATTTATTAATTTCAAAAAATTACCAAAACATACATTGTGAAAAAAAAATGTACTCTATCAAACAGAATATTTACTTATTTATAATCATGTAGGTATTTATAAATATTGTTAGTGATTTGTAATATTGATATTTGTCATTCTACTATTCGTTAAAAAAAAAAAAAGTTGATATTGAATATATTTAACTGATAGCATATTTGTATTTGTATTAGGCTTAATATTTTTTTTTATGTGATTGTATTATTTTAAATTGAAAAAATTCACTCGAAGATATTATTTTATCATGATTATTCGTTTTTATGATTTTGAAGATTATGGCCAGTTGATAGAAAACATGTACTATTATATAATTAAGTTATATCAGTAGGTACCTATATATTTAAATGCAACTACAAATCTATAATAATAAAATTAAACAAATTTTCACTTTCACAGAAGTAATTATTGATTCCAATAGTATGCCGTTTCAATAAATAATTATGATATTTAGAACTGAAATTTAATAAAAATATAAATAATAATATTGAAATAGATTTTTTTTTATTAAAAAAAAAAATATAATATAGCATATATATTTTTATACATAAATGAAGATAATATTATATTTATATAAAAAAATAAAATATTACATATTCAATAAAGAAACTTTTATAAAAAATATAAAAACACAAATATTATTATCATAATAATTTTTTTTTTTTTTTTGTCATGAAAATATCGTATTATTAGTGTACAATATTATTATATACTTGATGTAGATTCTAAATATTTTGACAACTCAACTATCGAGATCTTTTCAATTTCAAAGAAGATTTAAAAAATTACTATCATACGATTCGACTATAAACTACAGTAAAATTAACATTATTTAAAATATTCATATAATTAAAACATATAGTGTGATATATCACGTT